CTTAACAGTTTTACTACTTAATGAAATATTAAGACCCTGGTTAAATTGTTCAGTAATTTCTTCCACAGCTTGTTTACAGTTTCGTCGAACTATTCTTCTTAGTTGACGTTTATCTTGTTTTGATAAAGCTGGAGGTCTACCACTCCTAGATGCAGTATCAGTGCAGTTATCTTTATTATATTTCATAATTACATCATAGATAGTAGATTTTGGTTTGCCAAGAATTTTTGAGATGTTTCTTATGCTATGTCCGCCCTTTGATAAACCTACGATTTCTTCACGCTCAAAAGGTGTAAGCTTGTGGGTTTTTGACATCTTTATGTATTAAAATAATTATTTATAAAAAAATTTTTTTTTATTTAAACAAGCGAAGCCGTGGGATTCTAAAAAAAAAAAGAATAACAAATTTGGTTAGAAATTGGGCGTTCTATTGTTATTTAAAGATCAGTAATATACAGTTAAATTTGTGCAATATCGTAATTGTCCAGATACTTTTATCTTGTGTATGTAGTATCAAACCTGCTGAATAACTTTCACTTAGAGATAAAAGATGATTGACTTTGACCAAAGTGCTCAAATTATCCTGTGAAGTTAAAAAAAAGGTCTGTGATATTAATAAAGTTACAAAAATACATATTACAATACGAATATTAATCCAATTAAGAATAAATCTTATATATAAATAGTATCGAATCTGCTGAGCAACTTTCACTTATAAATGAAAAGCAATTGACTTTGACCAAAGTGCTCAAATTTTCTTAAATTCAAAAAAGTGTGACTTATTTAGTAAAGTTACAAAAAAAATTATTTCTATACAAATATTAATCCCATCAAGATAAAATATTAGATGTAAATAGTATTGAACTTGCTGAACAATTTTTATTTAGAAATAAAAGGTGATTAACTTTAACCAAAGTGCTTAAAATTCATCATGAATCTCTGTATTAATGTTTATAAAAAAAGATATTAAATATATATAAAATTAAAATTTACAAATAAAAATAATTACATTTAGTAAGAGTTTTAATAAGTTTAAGTATTTAAAAAATAAGTTGATTTTTAAAGATTATGTTAAATAAAATAAAAGTATTTATTTTTAAAAAAAAAAAGATTGGAAAATTGATTTTCAGTATAACTATAATTAATCGTGCAACTGTAATTAATTGTGTAACTGTAATTAATCATCAAATTAAAAATTTTCATATCATTTCGCATACAATTTTTTTTTATAGAAAAAGCAAAAAAAAAACAAAATAACAATCACATAAAAATAGATCAAAGTTTTATTACACTATTAAATATTAAATTAATTTAAAAATTACGTATTGATTTTATTTACGTGTCTTAATTTAAGAGATATAATTATTTTTTTTGGATTATATTTGACATCACATATATTTCTAAAATATATTTCTGCTACGCAAACTAATTACTGAGTTTGATAATTTTTATCTCTGTTACGCAAATACATATCTGATTATATTAAAATTTTGTTATCTGCTATGCAAAATTTTAGGTGATTTAATCAAAAATTTTTTATGTTTAATAAGCAATCTCAAATTTAACATATACAGTCAAAGTTCTCTATAGCGAATCTTGATTTCCAGAGGTCACGATTCGTTATAGTGAAAAATTCAGATAAATGGTTTACCGAATTTTAAGTGATTATTTGTTATATTGCAATACCGAATATCATATCCAAATTCAGTATATTGATAATTAATTATACAACACGAATACAGGGGCGACAAATAGATTCAGGGTTATTGCCAAATTCGAATTTCATGATTTATATTCGAAAGGTCAATTAGTAATCGATTTAATTGGATACAAATTCGGCACAACTTTATTATAAAATGTTCGATTACGTTTTCACCAACTCATTACAGTACAAATAAACCATTAAAAAAAATACTCCGCTAACCTTTGTTAGTA